GCAGCATTATTTACAATAGTTAAGGTATGGAAGCAATCTAAGTGTCCATAGATGAATGAATGGATAAAGAAAATGTGTTATGTACACACACATGCACACACACACACACACACACAGAAGAATACTATTCAGTAATAAACAAGAAGAAAATCCTGCTATTTGCAACAACATGGATGAAACTTGAGGGCATTATGCTAAGTGAAATAAGTCAGAAAAAGACAAATACTATGTGATATCACTTATATGTGAAATCTGAAAAACAAAATAAAAGAAAACCCAAACCCATACAAAAAGAGATCAGATTTGTAATTAACAGTGGTGGGGGATGTGAGGAGGCATGAGAATTAGGTGGAGGTAGTCAAAAGGTACAAATTTCCAGTTATAAGATATGTAAGTACTTGGGATGAAATGTAAAACATGATGACTATAGTTGAACATTGCTGTATGGTATATTTTAGAGTCCCTAAGAGTAAATTATACAATTTTCATCACAGGAAAAAAACTTTTACTCTTTTTTAAAAGTTTATTTAATCTGAAAGAGAGAAACAGCATACATGCCAGAGAATGGGAGAGGGGCAGAGGGAGAGAGAGAGAAAATCTTAAGTAGGCTCCACACCCAGCACAGAGCCCAAGATGGGGCTCGATGCAGGGCTCTATCTCACGGCCATGAGATCAGGACTTGAGCCCAGATCAGGAGTCGGACACTTAACCAACTGAGCCACCCAGTTGCCCCTATTTTCTCTTTATTTTTCATGTATTGATATGAGATGATGGATGTTGACTAAACTTATTGTGGTTGTGGGGAAATAGGTTCTACTTACAAAAATGGGTTAGAAAAAAGCTTAGGGTGGAAAGCCACCACCACGGGGCAAAAGCACTCGAGATTAGGTAGTGAGATATTGTAATGGGATAATTACAATAGAACTTTTATCCAGAATATATAACAAATCCCAAAACTCAGTAGTAAGAAAACAACCCAATTAAAATGGCAAAGATTTGAACAGATACTTCACCAAGAAGATATATGGATGATGAAGAAGCACATGGAAAGATACTCAACATCATTAAAAGACAAAACCACAATGAATAACTCTACACAACTACTGGAAGTTTTCAAAGACTGACTATACAAAGTATTGGCAAGGATGTGGAGCAGCTGACCAGCTCAGACCATCCCGGTGGGAATGGAATATGACACAAGCCACTTTAGAAGCAGTCCGGCAGCTTCTTACAAAATTACACAGACACTACTATATGATTCAGCACTCCTATGTGTTGATCCAAATGAGGAGGAGATGACAATATTAAATAGGTCCCCTGTTTACAAACAGCTTGAGTTTATCATGCTTCATTATTAGAGAAAATGCCATGGAATAAGTCTTTGTATTTCTAGACTTGTGTACACACAAAGATGACTGTGCATGCCAGCTTTATTTGTAATAGCCCAGAGCTGAAAACAACCCATATGTCCCTCAAATGGTAAAATGATAAATTATAGAATAGCCACACAGTAGAATACTACTCAGTGATTAAAAAAAAAAAATGAATGAACTCTTGGTACATGGCAACAACATGGATCAATGTCAAAATAATTGGACTGAATGTGAGATTCCATTATATAAAATTCTAGGTGATGGAAAGTAATCCATAGTGAGAGAAAGCAGGTCAGTGGTTGTCTGGGGACTTGGGGGCAAGGAGGAATGGGAGTGAGGGATTACACAAGTACATGAGCAAAATTTTGAAGATGATGGATATGTTCACTATGTTCACTGTGATTATTGTTCTCTGGGTGAATATATATGTCAAACATCAAACTGCATGTTAAATTTGTGCAGTTCATTATATGTCAGTTATACATTAACAAAAATGTTTCAAAAACAAAGAACAAATGCCAGTGCTAACACAGACTTTACAATGGGTAAGTCTGACTTCCACTCCCAAGCAGGGACATCATGCCATCTGTTGGCTTGGTCCAGTTAGCACTTTCATTCTGCTGGATGGTGCTGCTCTGCTTGCTTGGCTTTCTGCATGAGCTGCCAGTGTCCTTCAAGGGAGGATATCACTTCCCCCATGGAAACCAATGACTCCATCTACCTGGCCTTAGGTTGTGACTTTTTGTCCTCAGCTCTATGCACAGGAGCACTGTGTATAAGTACGTTACATTGGTGCTTGCAGCACGCTTAGAAGAACTTTTCACTCTCTCTCCTTTTTTACTTCTTTTTTTTTAAATCTTAAAAAAAAATTGTTTTTAATGTTTATTTTTGAGACAGAGAGACAGAGCATGAGCATGAGCATGAGCAGGGGAGGCGCAGAAAGAGAGGGAGACACAGAATCCGAAGTAGGTTCCAGGTGTCAGCAGAGAGCTGAATGCAGGGCTCAAACCCACAAACCGTGAGATCATGACCTGAGCTGAAGTCAGACGCTTGACCTACTCAGCCCCTTTAGTCTCTCTCCTTGAGTATCCTTTTCCTCCACGACTTGGGCTGTTGTTTGTGAGCTCTAGAAAGACAAAGATTTATTCCATGGCATTTTCTCTAATAATGAAGCATGACAGACTCAAGCTGTTTGTAAACAGAGGACCTGTTTAATATTTTCATCCCCTCCTGGATGGACAACATCTCCCCTTTAATCTTTGAAAACAAAAGCCTGATATCTCTGGACAATAATGCAGAGGTTTCAGAATGACACCCCATGAGGCATATCCCAAGGCAGATATGTTTTGTTTGGTCCATCTAATGTTTAAAGTATTTTTGAAATATTGCTAATATTTAAAAAGGAAGATTTCCTGTAAAGATTTAGATTTCCGTCTCTTCTTTAAAATTAAGATCTGACGTCATTACTGCAACATTCCCACATGGCAACATCAGGCAACATCAGCCAAGTAGCAACTTTGTCCTTTAGGCAGGGAATGAGTATGATTCCCTCCCAATCAGATGGGGGCCCCCAAATGTGGGGCGACCAGACTGAGTGGAAGCCAGTGGCCTGGGAAATGAAAGAATTCACCTGAGGCAGAACAAAGGAGATAGAAGTTTATTGAATACACCGAAGGGAGCAGTGGGCAGGACAGCAAAGGAGAGACTGACTGTCTGCCACAGGTAGTGGGTGGGGACTGTATTTAAAGAGGGAAGGTAAGGTGGTATGGTGACCAATGGAATTTTCCCTTTTTTGGAACTGTGCCTGGCTGTAAGTAACCCATTGGTCAGCTAGGGCTTATGGATATTTTGAGGTAGGCTGCCTGATGGGCCGGGTCTGTATTCAGCCAGGAGGTTGGGGTCACTATGGGCCCTTTTGCCTTGATCAAGTTTTCATGGCTCAAGTTTGTTACTTAAAAGTGACCTCTACAGGGGCGCCTGGGTGGCGCAGTCGGTTGGGCGTCCGACTTCAGCCAGGTCACGATCTCGCGGTCCGTGAGTTCGAGCCCCGCGTCAGGCTCTGGGCTGATGGCTCTGAGCCTGGAGCCTGTTTCCGATTCTGTGTCTCCCTCTCTCTCTGCCCCTCCCCCGTTCATGCTCTGTCTCTCTCTGTCCCAAAAATAAATAAACGTTGAAAAAAAAAATTAAAAAAAAAAAAAGTGACCTCTACAATAGGGGCAAATGCTCTCTGGTTTGTCCAAATCCCCACTTAGCTGGCTTTACTCAGTTCACATACTTGCTTGACTCTTCCATAGGCATTTGAGGTAATGACTTCTGCAAGAGAATTTTCTATCCTCCACAGATCTGTTTACTCTCCATAGTAGCCTGAAAAACAGTTTCCCAAAGACATCCAAATCCCATTCCCTGGAACTTGTGAATGTGCCCTCGTATGGCAAAAGAGACTTTGCAGGTGTGATTAAATGAAGGATCTTGAGATGGTGAGATTACCCTGCATTATTCGGGTGAGCCCTAAATGCAGTCCCAATTGTTGTTACAAGAGGGAGGCAGAGAGAGTGAAGTTTGATGACAGAAGATGGCAATGTGATCAAGCAGCAGGAAGAGTAAAGGCCATGTGCCGAGGAACCAGGAGCCAAGGAATTAGGACAGAGGCCAGAGAGAGGGAAAAGACAAGGCAAAGAAGGCTCTTTCTGAGCCCCTGGAGGGAGCACATCCTTGCTGACACTCTGACTTTAGCCCAGTGTATCTGATTTCAGACTTCTGACCTCCTGAACCGTGGGAGAATAAAGGTGTGTTTTTCAAGCCTCCAGCTTTGTAGTCACAGGAAACTAATAAACTGTCCCTGGATGGGAAAGGGAGTTTGGGAAGAGACTACTTTAATTGAATTTGCCCTCCTAAAGGCAAGAAGGGAACCTGCTTGTACCTCTCTTGCTAAAAGCCATAAAAGTAGAACACAAGTAAATCTCTAACAGGCCACCTGCATGCTGTGATCCTTCCTACGACACTATTACACATTTCCCCCATGTTAAAGCAGTTCACAGCTCAAGGGTTGTGCTTTTAAAAAAATTTTTCTTTTGAATGTTTGTTTATTTTTGAGAGAGAAAGAGAGAGCACAAGAAGGGGAAGGTCAGAGAGACAGCGGGGCAGAAGATCTGAAGAGGGCTCAGCACTGACAGCAGTGAGCCCAATGTGGGGCCTAAACCCACAAACTACAAGATCATGACCCGAGGCAAAGTCAGACGCTCAATCTCTCAATCGACTGAACCATCCAGGCGCCCCCAGGGGCTGTGTTTTTAACATGTTATTCCCAGGATCATGTTGAGTTTCCTTGAGCAAAGGGATCAGTTCTCTCACTGTCTGTGTAAATGAATAGAACGTCTGTCACTTTATAGGTTTACTACTATCTACTTTCCTTCTTCATTACTGGAACCTATAAAGGAAGAAATTAATTAAATAATTTGAGTTGCTAGGAAAGAATCCCAAATTCTCATACGGTGAGGTGGATGGATGATATACAGGAAGCTAGATCACCACTTATATTTATCGTCTCAAATCCCCTAGTGAGTCCAACAAAATATTAGTTTAGAAAAGTCAATTTTAGTCATAAAATCCAATTGTTTCTTCCTTCAGTTTAGAAAAGAGAAATAAACATCTGGAAGATTTAATTAGGAGGCCCAGAGAGAAAGCAAGAAAATCAAGGTAAGTTTTCTCTTTGTTTCTAAATAATAATGTCTTTAACTTTAAAACATAAGTCTAATGAATAATACATTTAAAAAACTTTTTTTTCCTTTTCTTAATTTAAGATACACTATATGCAAGTGCTTGGTATTTTGCCTGGCATAAAAATAGTTGGTTGATAAATGTTTTTTGTAGAACTTGAATTGGAAAGCCAGAATACCTGCCCTCATGGAACTTACAATCACCTCTAAGGAAGATGATATAAAGATATGAGCTAATATTTTGTCTGCACCAAAACAGCTTACATATATATCTTATGACCAGATTTTCTTACACTAATATTAAATCTTATAATACATACATTATTTCTGTAATTTTGATGCTACAAGGTATATGCACAAACCCTATGGGGTTGATTAAGACCATAGCAGGATATTAAAATGGGATTCTTCACGGCCTAGTCCCTGAGGTGCTAAAAAAAACAGTTATCAGTTCTCAAAGTGAGAGTGAGTTTCCCCATGTGCAGAGTTTCTGAAGGAAATTGCAAAGAACTGCTTTCAGGACTCCTATCTCTTGGCCAGATCCAATGTATAAAAAGTGTGGAGAGTGGGGAAGACTGGAAAAGAAATTTCTTTGAATCCATCATATTGTGAGCTCCCATTGCCCCCAAGTAATTCTACCTCTTTTGCTTAAAGCCTGGTGTGGGGGTTTCCAGAAGATCAACTTGAGAGCTTTGATATGCATGCCCTAAAAGTTGGGAAACAGAACACCAGTGACACACCATGCCTGAGATAACTAAAGCAAGCTGTGGCAGATCCACAGAGGGGCTGTGATGGGGTGGCCTGTTCTCTCTGAGCTCGTCAGCAGGACAAAAGATGTGTGTGATAATTTCTTAAGAACCAGACAGGAGAGAGTTGAGTTATCTTGGGCTCTGCCCAAAGCTACCTGGAGGGCTACCAGCACCAAGAGGCCAGAAGGGAATGCCAGATTTTTAGAGGCTGATGGGGTATCAGGTGACAACCAGAAGGGAGATGCATCGGCTTTCGTCAAGGGAACTGTAGGACAGAGGTCCCTAGCAGTGGCAAGCTCCACAGACGCAGTCAGCTTAGCCACTACAAGCCCAGAGACTGAAGTCACCATACCAAGTAAAAATGTCCCAGCACCTTACTTCTCCTCCCTCCTCCTGCAAATGGAGGAGATGGTGAGTGAAGAGGGAGCAGAAATTGACCCTCAATGGCAGGTGGTGCTCCCAACTACATGCCTTAGCTTGGCAAGGGGGAGGAGAAGTCCTACTTTTCAATGAAGATTAAAGGATTAATATGCAAGACCGGACATTCTGCTTACTGAATTGAGATTGTGTTCGTGCCCCACAATGAGGACTGACCTCACCTTAGAGTTAGCCAACGACATCACTGGGCCTGCTGCATATTCAGCCAATGGCAAAGGAAAAGCTTTCTTGAGTGAGGAAAGTCCAAAGCAGAAATGGGAAGCAGATATTAAAGTTGAGTTTTGACTATGTCATGAGTCACGAATGTTCAGCATACCATTTGCAATACAACTATGTTTTGAGAATTAAAACCCCTTAGCAGATTATCCTACTATTTGCAAAGTAATAGGTTAACTATGATTTTTCCCCCTAATATGAAAGAATACAATCTGATGCCTGGCATATTACAGATGCCCTATAGTTGCTAATTTAAACTAAATATGAATCTTCTCTGAATTGCTGTCAGAAACTGTGGAATATTTTTCCCATCCTTATTTTAAAATAAGAAAATTCGCATATAAATTCACAGATTTCACTAGTACAGCTAGTTATTTATTTAGCCTATTTTCACAGTGGATTTGAGGCCCATTTGTGTAAACTTCGAATGGCCTTTGAAGCCAGGGGGTGAGCTGGAGTAGAAGAGCCCTTTCCAGCTGGTCAAGGCTGTTTCTTAGAAAACTGGAGACTTACAGGAGCCTTCAGCCACCACCATCCTTGAAGCTTCCCCTCAGCATGGGGAACACGCTTTAGACTACCTCTGCACTGCCTCAGAATTGTGGTGCTCCTGTCGCTGACTGTCTTCAGTAGTGGAAAGAGTGGGAAATTCGGAGATAAAAGCGAGCACGTTAATAGTTTCAGATGTCTTTTTTTTTTTTTTTTTTTTTTTTGCTTCTAGTTCTTCATCATTTTCAAGAGCCAGAATCTTATCCTAAAGAAGTCCATGAGAATGTTAAAACACAACAAGACTGTGGCTCAATATTTTTATTTAATTGCAATGAGACTGATCCATATATTACACACTTAAAAGCTTTCTCTGACTCTTTTAGGTGCTCATAGTTCTATCCTAAATGGCAATTTCTCCTTGAAAGTGAAGGCAAGAACATATTAAATAATGGCATACTTGTTCACTAGGGTCTCTATTTTAGCCCACCACTTTTTTTTTTTTTAACATTATTCTCTATCTCCTACAGACCAAGAAGATTAGAATATCATCCAAAGTCCTTGACCGTGGTAGGTCATACTGATGATCACTATAAAGAATGTTCTGTTTCCATGTAATTTGACTGTAGCACAAGATTAAATAGGAGTTCCTAAAGTTACATTTCAGTCATGTTCAGTGTCGCTTTCCTTTCTGTCCTCAGATGAGGCCTCTTTGACCTCTGATCATCATACATCCTGTAACTGGGAACCTTCCTTCTGAAATTTTCCTTGTATTCATCCTCTTCACTGCATCCCTACAGCCACTGCCACATGTCAGGCCCTCATCATTTCTCATCCGTCCTATGATAGTCATCTCCTACTTGTTTCTGCCTCCAGCTTGGCACCCCTTCCTTCCATCCTCCACAGAGTAGACAGAGTGATCTTTCAGAAGCAAAAAGGATGATGCCCCTTCCCTACATAAAACCCCTCAGTGGTTCCCACTTGCATTCTGGATCAAATCGAGCTCCCTAGCACGGCATGTAAGGTCCTCTATGATCTGGCCCTCACCCTCCTATCCAGCTTTCTCATTCACTGCTTCCTCCTTGTCATCATAACCAAACCACATCTAACCACTTGCCATTTTCCAAACATGCTGTTATTTTTATGCCTTCCTGGTATGGCCCATGCATCTTCCCCTGCCAGGAATGTTCTCTCTCAATTCCTTTTCTCCTCTTACTTCAGTTCCCACCTCACAGACTTATAGACCAGTTCAAGCTCCATCTCCTGTATAAAGCCTCTCCTGCCCTGTCTCCCACATGCAACTGACTGGCTTCCTACCACGTGCCTACACTGTCCCCTTTGATAAAACAGCACCTGCAACATTTCATTACTGTTCTCTACTTGCACATCCCTTAACTTGACTAGAACCCTTTTAGTGCAGGGATTGTCTCATATTCATTTTGGTATCCCCCAGCACCTATCCCCTAATAGGTACTAAATAGGAGGGGGTGTTAGGCAGACTCAGGACCCAGGACCAATGCTACCCATGGTGGAGTAATTCCTAATATAAGATGTAGCCACTGGTGCCCTTGTCCTACCCCAGGCCAAGGGTATGTATTCATGAAAACCTGTGGCCTGTTTGTGATATAGCTTTATGGAAGAGGGGTATAGTCAAGGCATGTCTGTATATGCTCCACTGAGACCCAGCTGTTCTAATAGTGGAGTTATGAGAATACCTTAATACTACCTACCAGTTCTTAGTTATACTGTGCTGGTAAGTCATTTTATGAAATATTTACATTCTTGTTTCTATTCCTTTTTCTTCATTCTGCCAGCTGGCAACCAAACCAAGGAAGATGAAACTCAACCACCCTTGTTCCTTGCCATGTTCCTTAATGAGAAAAAGGTTGAAACAAACAAAAATATTTATTAAAATATAGTATTGGTGTTATCTGTGAAGTTTATCCATCTACAGGCTGTACTACTTTTCCATATGTATATAAGAATTAGCTGTTTATGCAGTAAGAATTGTATATATAAGAATGCCATATGTAATCAAGAATCAGCTGTCCTGTCACTGAATGCCTGTGTTTCCTAAAAACTTGATACATCTTTTTCCTTTCCTTTTTAGATGCCAGATATTTTAGAAGGAAATAGAAATTATTTAAATTAAATATGATTGAAGATTAAACATTAATCATTTTCATCAACCAGTCCAGGAGCACAGTCATTACTAAGTATAGTAACCAGATCAATCATACAAATGATACATTAAAATCTGTATAAAAGATGAAATTATACATTCTAAAAATTGTGATTACTTTTCTTCTAATTTATTCCTGTGAACGACAAAACATATTTAACATAAACAGAGGAACAAGTGGCTTCTTTTGCAAATGTCTATTTTCATTCACACAATATCACTTCCATATTATCAAGCCTTTAATGACACATAAAAACAATAATGTATCTCATTCCAACTTTTTGTTTCTGCCTGTAGGACATTCTTTTTCTCTTCTGGCGGGCAAGCTCTTCCTACTACCAACCAAATTTTAAGACACTAATTCTGAAATCCTTTGGAATTAAAACACAGATGAAAGGGGAGGACTGGTCCTTTGAGACCTAACTCGTAATTTCTACTTTAACATAGTTTTGAGGAATTAGTTCTGAATTTAAACAAAGGAACCAGAGACAGCTGATTTTGTGAGATATATCAGAAAAACAAATGTGCCTACATGCATATTATCCTTTTGCTAAATCCCAGAACCAGGATGGAGGTGTAGCTGTTGAATCAACTATTGGAAGGGAGAAATTATTTTAGCTTGCTGAAATTAGTTTTGCACTGAAATTACTCAGGTAAGTACAAGAGAAGAATATATGGAGAATATATATCTGCACTTGAAGGAAGTGCTGAATAAATAAAAGTTATTATTATTGTTGTTATTTTTGCTGAGGAATTCTGTAAGACAGATCTTATGTGAATTTTGAAACAGAAATTTTAACTTCTCAAATTCAAAAAGTTGCAATACCATTTAAGACAAATGATGAGAAATGCACAGAAAAATGCAGCTGTGACAGTGTTGTGTTTCAGAAAATTAAGCATTGAAAGTTTTGGAAATGATTCCAGTTTTAAAAAGAGATATTGTTTCCCTGGAGGATCCCCTCCAGGGAAAATTAAAAACGTGACAGGAGAAAGACAAATATTAACATAAAGATGGCTAATGCAGTTCTGCAATCTGTACACGATTGTGATGAAACTTTTGGAAAGGAGGGATTAACATAGGCTGTCTGCAAACAGGAGCGTGTGCCTAAGCACCACATTTGCCATGTATGTTATTAGACATTTATGATATTTTACCTGCAGGTTGTCTCAAAATGAATGTGCCTCCTTTGGTGCATGACTGAAGGATGCTGAGTCTAAGCCTGTACTTCTTTCAATAAACATTTAGTGACTTTCAATAAACTGTGTGACAGCCTCTATGTTAGATGCCAAGGACACAAAGAAAAATCAGGCAAGGAAGGACTACATAATCCAAAGGAGATAGATACACTGTTCTAGAGTGGGGTGCAGGTGTAACTGTCCAGGGTACGCTAGAAGCATAGATGAAATGACCCAGGACTATGTCAGGGAAATTCAGGACACCTGAGCCATATCTGTCCCTGACTGGACATTCCCCAGACAGATAGAAGGGGAAAACAACAGCACAGTCAAAGCACAGAGGCATGATAGGCTCTATTACATCCCATGAATCACAAGTCATGTCTAAAACCCACATTCTTCATATGGCAGGAGGCGAAGATGGTCATGAATAGCATTGTATGCCTGGCCAAAAAATCTGAACTTTATCCTTATGAAATCTCAAGCTCCAAAAGCTTTAAAGTAGAGGAATGATGTGGTCATATATGCATTTTGAAAGATCACCTTAAAAGTGATGTAAAGGGTAGGTTGATGGTGGGTGATGCTATAATCAGAAGTACCTGTTAGGGGCACCTGGGTGGCTAAGTCAGTTGAGCGTCCGACTTCGGCTGAGGTCATGATCTCACAGTTCATGGTTTGAGCCCCATGTTGGTCTCTTTGCTGACAGCTCAGAGCCTGGAGCCTGCTTCTGATTCTGTGTCGCCCTCTCTCTGCCCGCCCCCCGCCCCCAGCCCCCGTCATGCACACTTGCTCACTCTCTCTCTCTCAAAAATAAATAAACGTTTTAAAAATAATAAAATAATAAAAGATTGTGACACTTGCCTATAGAAATAAAACTCTGGGTATGAGCAAGTGGCATATGTAATTCCGGAAGCTCCACTCTGAAATATTTACAAAGGACTCTAGGAGTCAGTATGAATTCATAATTGTACCTCTGGGGAACTTCGTGAAACTGAACATAGATCCTCCCATATTTAGCAAGGCCAACCTTGCATGAAGAACAATTAGAACATAGTTTTTAAGAAATTCCAGTGAGCACGATATGGTGAAAAATTCAATGGCACTAATGTACACTTGAGGGTCCTTATAATAAATGGGGCCAAGGTCAACAAAGATGTTCTGAGAAGAGAATTTCTGTGATTTCACAGCACAACCACTCTACTGATGAATTCCACTTCCATTTGGACTAGAGGATTTGAACATCCCAATCAGAGACCTTTGGTACTCGGAGAATAGGGTCTAGGAAGAAGTCAGTTCCCTCTCTCCCATGTCTCTCGTTAACTCTGATGCTACTACCACACAACACTCTGACACCAGATGTGTGGTGTTTTTTCACACACCAAGCATCCGACAGCAATTCTCTGTGACATCCGCTGGGTGTCCTACAATTTAAATCAATTCTGACACTCCCCACCTGGAGGTAGCATCAGACTCCACAGGGTAAGGGCTCAGTCCCACAAGACTGCCCTCACTCCACGGCAGATGCCTATCACTAGTCCAGGTGATGACCAGCTATAAATCAGAGGTTCCGACAAACCCCTCCTCAGGTTTGATTAATTTGCTAGAGCACCTCACAGAACTTAGGGAAACACTTACCTTTAACAGTTTATAAAAGGATACAGATGAAAAACCAGACTAAGAGTTACACAGGATGAGGTCTTGGGAGGATCCTGAGTGCTCTGTCCCCACGGAGTTGGGGTGTGTTCCCTTCCTGGTATTTGGAGGTATTCGTCAACTGAGAAATTCATTGAATCCTATCCTTTTGGGATTTTTATGGAGGTGTCCTCATGTAGCCATGACTTATCATTAAATCCATGTCCAATCCTTTTCCTCTTTCTGGAAAATAGACAGTAGAGCTGAAAATTCCAACCTCCTAATCATGGTCTGGTCTTTCTAGTGACCAGCCACCAGCCAGGAGCCATCCAGAGCTGACAGAGTTGCCTCGTTAGAACAAAAGATGCCCCTAATGCTGTTCTCACTTAGGAATTGACAAAAGTTTTAGGTGCTCTATGACAGGAACTGGGGCAGAGACCAGTATATATATTTTCTTCTATCTCACAAATAGGTATAAAAACTATAGTACTACAACTAATATATCTTTTTAATATACCCTTCCCTTTATTGAGGGATGATCTACATACTGTAAAAGACACCTATTTTAAGTGTAGAACTCAGTGATTTTACAAAGTAAATGTACAGTCATGCAATAATCCCCACAATCTAGTTTTAGAATATTTCCATCTCACACACCCCAAATCTCCTCTAGCCTACTGGCAGCCAATCACTGCTTTCACCCCCAATTTCTTCAGGATTCTGGTCAGTCTTGTTCTTGGGAAACATACAAGAGAAGTCTTAGTACGACAAACTGTGATCAGCTGCTGTGTCTGAACATGAGGCATTAAGGCTGCTACTTGGTTACTTTCTTGGTATTTCACTGTCATCTGCCATGACCCATCTAGTTTTGTAGGGGCCAGCTGGCAAATTAAATTGGAATTTGATGGAGACCACCACCCTATGAGAGTGGCACACACCTCTACCATTCTCTTGGGATGTGGGTGTGCTTTTAATTTACTATCTCTATTGGGAAGGAGAGTAGTAGTGGCAGCTTGAGAAGCTTCCACTGAGCCCTTCACACTCTTAATACTCTTGATAGCTCCCCAAGGAACCAATGTAAGGGTTCTTTCAACCACCAAGTATGTCCATTCCATCTGTACTTTCAGGGACCAGATACGGTGGGTCTGATAACCTGAAGAATCCACTGTTGGCTGGACCCAGGATGAGACTCCATTTATTGCCTGGCTCCTTTATACTCCTACTCTAAAAGGGGGCCATGTTGGCATGTTAGATCCTGGATATAACATCAGTTCAGACCTTGTGTCCAAGAATCCTCCAAAGGCCTGGGTGTTCCCCTTTCCTCAATGCGTGATTACTGTGAGTAAATGTCCATCCTTTGAAGAAGGATGGGGGATTCACAACTGAATGGCAACTATTGTGGGGTTTCAGGACTCCCCATCATAGTACCCTGGCTTCTCTGCAGTTACTGGGTTCTGGAATTGAGAACCAGCTCAGGCGCAGCTGAGGAGGGGACCATGACTTTTTCCTGGGTGACTGCCCTCAACACCCTCCCAATCTTTCTTGATTTCTTTAATTGTATAAATTAACACTAAGTTGAGTGCCCACGTATCTTATTAACCATTGCCGTGGCTCTCTCCAGGTTACTCCTCCTGCTCGTTCTCCAGTCCTCTCCCTATCAGACTTTGCAGCTCATGGGGACGGTGATAACTGAGCCCACCCTGTTGGATGGTTAAGGGGTGCCATCTGGTCTTTGTTCTCATCCACTCATCCTCATTGCTATCAGCCCAGTTCTGTAACAGCATCCTTTACCCTCAGCCTGGGCTACAGAGGACAACCCACCACTGGCCTCAGTGAGGCTGGAACCCTTCTTGCCTCTGCATTCCTCATTGCTTTGGTAGATGGAGTGTCCTCCAGGCCCTCTCCCAGAATGTGAGCTGGTGAGTCTTCCAGCCTTACATAGTAGATCCATTCCAACAGGCTTACGTTTAGGAGCCAGGCAGAGGAGGAGGGGCCGGTGAGGTGGAAAGAGAACTAGGAGAGTAAGGTTGTCACTGAGTCTAGAGAAACAAGTGTGAAAGAAGCAGGGAACAGGGCTCAGATGAGGACTTTGGGGTTTAGCAAGATGGAGATGTTTTACTGTTGAAAAGAAAAAGCCCAGTTGGAATAGGTGGAGAAGAAAGTTGAAAGGTGAGCTAGTGAAGTTTTACTGTGTCAGAAAGCAGGGAAATGAGGCTGTTGCTGAAGGGGAACAGGGGCCACAGGGAGTTTTGTTTTTTAACTTGGGCGATATTACCGTATGTTTGTATGTTCATGGGAGAAATGGATTGGAGAAGTAGAAATGTATTATGAGGTAGAAAAGAGAGGGCTATCTTTGAAATACACGTTTTTGAGCAGGGGATAGGATGCGTACCACAAATGGTGGATGCCCTTGGTGGGCCTATAAATATTTTTGTTGTAACGGAAAGAAGGGCAGAGCCTAGGTGTACAGAAGGACATAAGTGGAGGGTTTTGTGGACAATGATCAGGTGATTGTGCTTTTGTCTGTCCATTCTTTTCAAGGCAATATGAGCTGGGGAGGTCTGTGAATTGTGCAGAAAGAGAACCAGATGGGAAGAGCAGCCGGGAGAGAATGTAGGACCTCCTCCTAAGTTAGCAGAGCTTGGAGAGCCATGACTTCTGTGTGTGTGTGTGTGTGTGTGTGTGTGTGTGTGTGTATTTTAAATGTTTATTTTTGAGAGAGAGCATGAGCAGGGGAAGGGCAGAGAGAGGGGCAGACACAGAATCTGAAGCAGGCTTCAGGCTCTGGGTTGTCAGAACAGAGCCCGATGTGGGGCTCAAACCCACAAACTGTGAGATCACGACCTGAGCCGAAGTCAGACGCTTAACTAACTGAGCCACCCAGGTGCCCCAGAGCCACAACTCCTACGAAAGCTTTCCTTATTTTCTGTTTCTTTTTCCTGTCATGTCCCCTTTTCATAAGGAATTTCTTTCAGAGGTAAAGTATAGCACAAAAAGCCCAATTCTTTTCTTTAGCCCTTGCTAGGTGAAGTCTTTGCTTGCATGTAATGAACACACCATTTTTTTTGCTTGATGTTTTTTCATTTCCTATTAAGCCTACAATTAAACTTCAGTTGCAAATTTGTGGAGAACAGATGTCACTGGTAACAATATAACAAATTCAACAAATATTTTCTGTGTTATAACAGAGTGTACTCTTCTGTAAACGTGACGCCTAGGCACACTGATCCCTGGCCTCAAGATGTTTAAAGACAAGACACATAATAAACTATATATTGTGTTGAAGGTAGTAAGCACTGTGAGTGAAGAATAGAGAGAAGGAAATAGGCAGTGGGGGAGAGGGGGAGGGAAGGCTGGAGGGTTGCGATTTTAAATTAGGAGGTGAAGGTAAGCCCTCAAGGTAACAGCTGAGCAAGAGTTTAAGGGACATGAGGAAGTTCCTCAGCTA